CAGATAGTCGTCAGTGTAGCCGTAGCTGCCCATATTTATGTAGCACATCTGCTTGTCCATAGGGAAGTGGAGCAGGTTCATCTGGCAGCCCAAGCGCATGGTGATCTTTTGGCTGAACATAATCTGTCCGTTCGGCTCCACTCTAACCAGGCAATTTGGAGTAGTCATCTCATACATAAAGCCCTGTTTCCCGTTCCGGAAGAAGAGATCCGGCAACCAGAGCTCTCCTCTGCGTAGGGTCAACAAAATGCTGGAGTTGTGTTTCTCGAACTCCTCACTATGATCCCAGGCAAGACGCTCGTCTATCCACTGCTGGCGTAGGTACATATCAACTGTGTATTCCATTTTGATCACATCCACTGACGTGATGGCGAGTATTTTTATGTGAATGATCACCACGGTCGGTCGGTTCTGACCCTCTGTTGGCCTTTCATAGATTTTATAGCCGGCAAATGATCGGTTTAAGATGCGGTCCTTCACAGATCGATTAGTTGGTGCTAATCGAGTAAAAAAGGAGACACCACCCGAATCTCCACGACCGGTTGGAGTTTGGGGGCCCTGGGCCACATCTGGGGCCAGTCCCGTCGCGCCTTCATACCACATGTTCTGTCGCCGGGAGCGGGGTTTCAGGATGGACGAGGTGTCCATCTCCTCAGCCTCCTGCAGTCTGCCGAGGCGATGATCGCCCTGGACATGGCGAACTTGCCTGTAGAACAGGCTCCCTGAAGTCACGGTAGCCGAGCCTATCCACCAGATTCCGACGAGCAGACAGAAGATCCAGGCTCTGGGGCTCGAAGGAAGGCCTTTAGTGGCCGGCATCTTGTTAAATCCAAGCCTCACCCGACGCACTCACAGTGACAGAGACGACCTAGGCCCGACCCTCACAACCATATCACTGCCGACACCGCTTAACCCCAGTTGCCATGGCAGCATAGGTAGCAGGTGAATTCATGTGTCTTTGAGTGTCCTCACGAATGAGAGATAGATAGTTCGTCCAAACAGGGCAGTCTTGTGTGTATCC